TGTTTAAAAGTGATTTTTCATCCATGTCAGATACTATTAAAGACGTATGCCGACGATACGTCTTTAATAGTATCTGACATGAATGAAAACTCACTTTTAGACAAATATAAATATGCTTTGATAAGCTAATGGAAAATAATTATTCATTTCTGGAAGAAAACGCTGAATTCTCTCTAGATAAACTCATGGACATAAGTAACAATAGACTCTATTTGAAGTTCTCAAATTATCGATTTCAAATATTCATTTATTGATTATATGTGGAATCCTTTGGAATTTGAATTTTCTCGCATATTTATGTGAAAGTTTCTCCAGTTTCATGAATATAATATAAATGATATCAATGTTTTATATGCAAGAAAACATTTATACGATTTAGTATCGAAAACTTTTAAAATTTCATTTGGACTGTTTTATCTAAATTTTAAACTACATCCTGACCTAAACAGTGGAAATCTAATGAAATCAATTCGAAAAGGTGATGTTTCTCTGGGAAAAACACGTTTTTTCCCCTTCTACATAAAAAGGATGCATTCCGAAGAAAGAAAGAATATAAAAATAATGATAATAGCAGTTGAAAGTTCACAGCAAAGAGCTTCAACAGACAGCTAAATGAACTTCACAACTCGATATCCCCGGATGACTTTCGAAGAACCCTTGTTGGTTCCAAGAACTTTGCTGTGCTAGACCCAGGTGGATTCAACAAATTTAATGTAATTAATGTAATTGTAATAACAAAAAATCGACACCGAACAACTTCTAAATTGGTAGCAAATTATCAGAAACGACTCTCCTCAATCGGAACGAATTTGATTCATGGTCTGAATTCCTTACCATACTGGCCTGGAAGGCAATGAAGCTGCTGAATCTCTTGCAAAGGCGGATGTTGCAAGCACTTTCATTGGACCAAAACCTGTCATTGACATCGCTTTAGGTTTTTCCAAACAAACATTGAACACCTGGATGGGAAGAAGATTTAAGGACTTCTGGCAGAATCTTCCAGGATTGGCTCACTCCACCCTTCGAAGCTTGATACCAAACAGTTGTTGGACTACAGTAAGGATGAACTACGATGTCTAACTTGCTAGACCTGGATTGTGTACGGAAATAGCATGGTAAAGTTAGGTTAGCAAATGCAATGTCAACCTTATCAGTTGTCAAAATAAAAAGACAATGTGGTATCTGACAAATGGATGTTTTGTTTTATTGATCTGAATTTATTTCGACTCATGGTTTCTCTCACAATGCGCACTCCTTTATCTTCATCCTTCGACCAAAACATGTCAGTTTGTGTTAGAGTATGATATCAGGATAATATCAGTATCCCAATAAATTTTTTCAAATCTGATTTGTCTATATGAGAATCGTGTCGATTTTTTTTTGGTTGCATAGGTGGTTGAAAAATTCAAATTTTTTTTCGGTCACCTCGTTATCCAAAAATAGTGAAAAAATTTCGTTAGGCGTCTTGCCGCCATGTTCTGCTCTTATGTTATCCAAATGATTAATAGAATGGTATTGGGGAGAATCTGAGTAGGTAGGTATATCTATTCTTTTCCATTCTGGAATAACACTTTTTTAGTAGCTTTTTGATTTGCTGATTCAATACGTTTTGCTATTCCACTCAGAGGGAGGTCGTCTTCAGAATCATGACTATCTTCATTCGATTATATAGAAATAGCACGTTCTGCTATTTCACTTGAATGTATGTCATCATCTGAATCGTCACTATCCTTATTCACTTGTATTTCATAAGTTCCGCAATATCCTCCTCCATTATTTCTTCTCCGATTATATTTTCTTCAATGTTTTCCTCATCGGTCAACTCGTCTGTTTTCGGCGACACATAAACGACATCAATTGAATCATAATTTTGATAATCCAACTCTTCCTCTAATAAAGCACTGAACTCTTGCGTTGTCAGTGGTCTCTTCATTTCCCATTTCGAAAACTGACTATACGAATAAATAATGATAATGAAATACCAATATCATTCGAGTTATGATTCTTACCTCATTTTGACAATTTTTCACAAAAAATAAGAGAAATCTTCCCTGCCAATACTGACTCGCACTGAACTAAACTCAGTCAAGGCTAATTTTACTTTTTCTGGATTATTGTTATGAATATCCATCAGAATAAACATAAATATCTAATATTGATCCAAACCACAAAAAAATATATATAGAAAAGTTGCGTTTACGTACCTTTGGCGGTTAATGGGTTAAAATTTTAATTTATTTTTTTCATTTATATCGTCTATTGTAATTACCATCAATCATATCATTATATAGTACATGATCCATTGTGGAAAATGATGATTTCTCATTATTGTTACTGTTCTGTATATATTAGAGTTCCTAATTAGAGTAATTATTTATAACTATTTTGACATTTGCCGTTAAAACTTACTGCCAAGACAACATGTTCCAGTGTTGCCACAAAGCACTCAATCAAATTCGTTGGGATATCGAACAAAAATCCTACTGTATCAACATATAGACCTTTCAAGCTAGAGGGCAGAGTTCCTGAGTGAACAGTCAATCGAGAGTTGCAAAGAGCTGGTTCCTTGGTTGCAGAGACTTTTTCCCAGTTAAAGCTTTTATTAAACAAGTTTTTCCGGCATTTGTGTACAGGAGATGACCGTTTGGCGGGAGTTGGTCGTTTTTCGCTTGATTAGAGGTTTCCATATGTTACGTATCTCTACCCTGGCTTGACTGAATGCGTTGTTGGACACCATATACGCGGCTTCTTTGATAATCTAATTTGCGTCTTTTATTTCTCAGTAGGGACCTTTGACTTCGTAATTGATGAATGTCCCTTTTGAGTTTCTGTTCCCGCTCTTGAAACATGAGTTTGAGTAGGTACTTCTGGATCTTTTGAGAAAAATAGCAAATTTCTCTGAGCTGTCTGTTGTACAAAGTATAGCTTCGCTAGAGCGACTTGCAGATTGGCATGCTTACTGACATCATGAAATTTCAATATTTGCATTATGATTTTGTAACGATCCAGAATGGGAAGACCAAATTTTTCTTGTAGTAACTTTTTTCAGATGACTAGTATTTATGAATACGGCAGTTATCTGGGGATTTGCTTGAAAAAGTTTGTTTTCCATGTACCCTTATCTGAATAAAGACTGTTTCTCCAAACTTTCCAAAGGAAGTGAAGTCGTGTCTTCAACTGTCCAAAAGGGTAATGTCTTAATAAGGGCAACGGCTTCTTCTAGCTGCTCTGCTGGCTTGATAAAAAGTTTTTGAGGGCCCTACTTGACGTAAGGCTGTAAAATCAAACAATTGCGAATATTCCCGAGACGAACACAGTGATTTACCAATTCATATTTTAGTCACTGTCTGCTGTTAGAACTTTATCATCATAATTGTCGGTAACTTGATCTTCACTTTGCTTGTAAACAAGAGTTGTATAAAACTTACTAGATTCGCGATTCGCGATATTATACTCACATTATTTGTTAAAAACGAAATGTTAAACCTGTAATCAAAATTGTGACTTGTGACACGCTGACTGACACATCAATTGTACGTGACATTTTTTCATGCGACCAATTTTCATATATCTTTTAATGACAAAAACAATAGATAGTAGATCGCATGCATTTAGCCACTGTATAACTTCACCTTGAGTAAGTATATTCACTCGTGTGGCTTACTGCACGAAAACAATTTTTACAAAGCTAATACACAGATATTAAAAAAAAATAATTCAGCACATGACGGTTCCTTCGATGAGATATGTTGGTATGATTTGAATAAATGAATATGCAAGCAAATAATTTTTCATCCGAACACAGAATGTCAAACAAGTCACATTAAGATAAGATTTTCTGACCGTCTTTTTCATTTTTAATGGGTAATCCCTTTCGTGGAAGACCATCAGACTTTTGAATGGTCAACACGAAAAAAATAGCTTTTTAAAGTGACAGCACCATTTGACCAAAGTGAATAACAAACTGACTTCAGCTAAATGGATTTTTATTATTTTTGGTAATTTAGTGAGTCAAAATAACCGTAACTGGTTATTCAATGCGAAAGATGGCCTCAACCGACAGTAGATTATACTCAGGGACGGATCTAGCCCAACCGATCCAGCAAAGAGGGGGGCTGCCACCAAATGGCGGGAAAGTGTCGGGTTATTCAAAAACACTTCACTTAGTTCTTCTTCAGTTAGTTATCAAAAATGGGAGTATTATTTTAAGTATATAAGGGTGGATGTTAAACTTGAATTGATAGGGGGGTCAAGTGGGGAATTCAAATGGTTCTACATTCTCGCAAGTGCATTAATTTATTGTTTTTCGACCAGAAATTTCTGAAACAGAGTAATTGAAACCTTCTATATTTAGATGGATTTTTGTTATTGTTTTAATGAAAATTATTACATTTCATTTTTTCAGTAGGGATAGTTAGAACAAAAATTACCTAAAAAAAATCTCAAAAAGTGACACAATATTCCACTATCAATAGTACCTAATAATATGCGTTCGATAAATGATAGATTTTCAATTTTTATAGCTACAGTTACATAATTAGCTGAACGACGTATGTCTGCCAACTCTACTTAAAAGACAAGACTGTGTCATCATATCTCAAGAAGAAGCGAGTCATAGAATTATTTTTTGAATCTTGAAATGTTTCCTGTAATAAGGAAATGAATATTTCAAAATAAATTCTGAAATATTAATCACTCTCAACTACCTACACGATAGGGTCTGGTGAAAGTCTGTCGGAAAACAACAACTTTACCGGCTAACACCACGCTGGATATTGAATTATATTCGACAGACATTTTTGCAAGATTCCTCATGAAGGCTAGTCTCACAGATGTTTCTCCTTCATTCAGCAGCAGGAAATTATAATTTCAGCATGGATGAACAGCTTCTTCAGGCGAGTTCATTCGTATACACGCATTCCTTTCATTTCAAATTGTATGTATATCTATTATGAGACGACAGATCTACAAATATTAATAATTCAAAAAAAAAAACAAAATAGTAACTGAGAACTAATTTATTGTGAACATTACAAGGAATAACAATACACATTTTTTTCATTTGGATTTTTTCTATAACTATACCATAATTCTTGCAATTCTTCAAGAAACTCGGTTGGAAGGTTGGTATATGCCAAATTCAATTTGCTCATATTTACAGAATCAAGACAATTTCTTTTTTTCCACTTTTCGTAGTTTTGTTGACCCTCAAAATAGAAAAATATGGTTAATACTTTTGTGCGAATAATCCAAAACTCGAACAAAAATTATTTGCAAAGAAAAAAATGTGATATGAGTCAAATATCCTGGTAGAAAGAGACAGAGAGGAAAGAAGAAAGAAATGGATCTACAGGCAATCCTTGAAGTTCTAGCACCTCAATAATTGAAATCTTCGACTCACAAAGCATAAGAGTATCTATACATATGAATCTGAAGAATATTTTGTCCAGAAATAAAGTTTCTCTTCATGAGCAAACAGCAGTCAAATTCATAAAACAAAACAATATACAGAATACGCCTAAAGTTACGCCAAATGTATGTGAATGTATGCAAAGCTTTTTCAAATTTGGAAAACCATTATATTAAAGTCTTTTGTTATATCAAGTTGGTGTGATAATTTTTCAGATCTCTTCGAAAATTGGTCTTTTCGATTTACAATAATATGAAATATTGAATATAGTTTCAATATTGGCTACAAAAAGATTTTGCATATCAAAAATTTCGAAACTATACAGGAAGACCCATCTAAAACATTTGATGACATGGGATCTGAAAAGAAAATTACCCAAAACATTTCTCAAACGAAATGAATAGATGATGAACGATAGTTGAACTGTAACTTTCTACTCACTGGATACGTTCCTTTTCCAAAATTAAAGCAAAGCTTTCGTTTCTTTCAAAGATGTTTTAATTCCTGATGATGCTGAGCCGTGAATGGTCTTCCCTGAAACGTAACACATGAGAGAAACTGGCCGGGAATTATTTTTTAGTTGTCATTATAATATGACTGACTCATAAGAGTTATGACTGATGTAACATTGATATCGTTAACACATCTAATAGCTACGACGACTTTACATTGTTTCAAATATCCTTGAATATCTAAGAATGTATTTAGTAAGAAATAAAATCAAACAGGTTCTTACACTTGAATTTTTTATTTTGGCGAATGCGCCGCTGTCATTTTATTGTCAAGACTAAATGTACTGGATTCGGTTTTGACAAACAGTTTAGCATATCTGTATTTCAAAACATTGAAATTGGATGATTTATTGCATGAATGCAAGTTGGAAAGTTCATTTCAGGCTTTATCGCGTGGACACAAGGTGGCAAATGACCGTCTCAATCTGCAACTATTACTAAATCTGAGAAGCACTGTTTCCTCCTATCCTATTCCTTAACAATTCCACTTAAAATTCTATTGGCTGAAATTATAATATAAAGGTTATTGCTATTGCACTTGGATAAAATATAATTGGATCAAGTTGGAGTATTTCAGAGTTAATGATTAACATTAGTCAATAAAATTACCATTTGAATGGATCAGATAGAATTCTTTATTCGGAATACTTTCTTGATTTCCATATGTTTATTTCTGTATTGGTAACCGACGGATTTTGGCTGACATATGTTATATGATTTTTGACGTGTTAAATTTAAGCTCTCAGTAATAGTTAGTTATTATTATTACATTGTTTTGTTGATACTATATGGAATACACTATTCAAAGTGACTAATATTCGATTTTGTTAAAGTCTATTTCTTCATAAGACGTGATATGTGAAGAACTCTCAATATTTTCGAAGAAAATACAAATTGAAAAAATAATTGATGACGAAGAAACTCAATATTTATGAAAAGAAAATATAAATAATGAAGAAAAGAGAATTGAAATTTTTTAGCACTTTTATTTGTAACTAACGTTACTGCAGTTTCGTCCTCTGAGGACATTTTCAAACTTATACATTGAACTAAAAATGATTGATTACATCAACCTTATATTGCACCACTGTAGGTAAAAAACATAGAAAGTTCCAATTCTCTTTTCTTCCCTATGATTTTCTCTCACGTAGTTACGGCTACATCTATCGATTTATTAAAAATATTAATATCTTTGAAATGGAAAACTTTCACTAAATCTACAGCAGTGAGTGGACCAGAATCTGTCTCAGATACAAGTAGTGCTTTGAATGATATATGTAGTACAAAATTGCCATCAAATCGGTTTAGTTTGTGAGCGTTGTGAAGTTCATAAATGAGAAAAATAGGTTTGTTCAAGTATATGTTTATTGGTGCTCTCGGAAACAAATATTGTAAAAAATGAAAGGAAGGTTACATGAAATTTACATTGATGTACAGGAAAAATTTACACTGAAGTAACTATTCGAATAACTACCATTGATTATTGGTATTTACGGATTATATTATTAATTTCTTAAATTTGAAAATTTCTTCCTAATTGGAGATGATATGTAAATATTGTTAATTCTAGGAAATTCTCAACTCAATATGAATCATCTGTTATAGTACCAAAATTTCTCATTATTTTGACGTAAATAGAGATATGTAAATTCACATGACTGCGAAAGTATTTTCAATCTATGCATCATGTATCTTTCATCTTTACATGTAATCTTTACATGTAATACTGAAATGTAAATATATTTCAGTACAGTATCTATACTATGTGAAATTACAAGTATATCTATCCATGGCTTCAAATCACCATTGATATTCATTATTGTTTCAGATAACGCTCCTACATTTAGTTCCAACGATTCTCAGATTTTTTGAAAACAAAATAATGTTGAACATGTCACCTCCCCTCTTTTTCAGCCTTCTTCAAATGGTGCGGCCGAAAACTCGGTTAGAACCATTAAAAACGCTTTAAAAAATGCTCTTGGAAAAAATATATCAATCCTACTTGGATAAAAGGGAAAATAATAAAAAGATTAGGAAAATTTGTGTATTCAGTGCAAATTTCAGAACTTGGATATGTGTGGAAGAGACATTTGAATCAAATAAAAAAATTATACTTTCAAAGAAGCTTCTCTACCTACTGTTTAAAAAATCTTTTTAAAATCTGTTTTTTCGTCAATTAGCTGTCGCCCCCATACGAACGACAGCTCTCAGAAGTTGAGAAACTTGTGCGAGCTGAGGACTAACGAGGTCTTACCTTTTAGCGTGTGATTCCTAACACGGTTGCAGAATCATCCCAGCTTCAACCAAATAAATTATCTCGAGAAAAATATCTGGTCGAGGCGGGAATCGAACCCACAGCCTTCCGATCGTGAGTCGGGCGCACTACCACCGCGGCCAATTACACAACAATGAGACAAATGATTCAAAAGCCGTTTCCACGCAACTTGGACAAGAAACAAGGGAGAATTTAAACAGTGACGGTAATCACAATGAAGTATTAGAGACCTCCCATTCACATCAACGTACTTTGGCCAATGTAAGACCAAGACGTCTAATAAAACCTGCAGATCGTTTAGAGTATGTAAAAATGTAATATTTTTTCTTCGAGATGTTGGAATTTTGTGTTTATTTTTTTCAGGAAGGGAAATGATTGTAGTGTATTGATTTATTGTGCCACCCAGTATAGTAGTTCATATCGGATTGTTTTAGTTTTTAGGAAGAGATAAAAAAAGAGCATGCATGGGCAGTATATATGTAGTCGATGGAGAATAAACACCATTTTAAAACCAAGAGTGTTTTCAATTATTGATATCAAGTTCCAATACATTACAGTTAATTGACGAGATTGATTTTAATAGTATATTTTCCGTAGATTTCACAGAAATAACAAGAACTGTGAGTATTTTGAATGAATACAAAAGTAATGAGCCATAAACAATAAGTTTTATATTAGGTTTATGATATATGTGATCACGAAATACAGGCATAAGCTGTATAGTAAATTGACCAATCAGAAAAGTTCATTCTTCTGACAGTATGAATTTTAATCGAACCTCAAGATGCATTTCTTGTTTTCCCTTTTCCACAATGGATGCTCTATCCTGGTCAGATATCCAAAATATCTGATTATGATAGAAATTGAGTTTATGTCTAATATATAAAACAAAATCTTATAATTGTATAGTTGTGAACTGGTTTTTCTCAATCTGAAAATACTGGGTGTTTTCAGTGTTTTTCTTACATACACATATACTTATTTTAGACCATTATTTCCATCCATTATCGTTGTAAGACTCACAGAATAAATACCGAATTGTTCAAGATTCAGATATAGAGTTTCAGTCAATATTTATAAGAAATATGCATATAGAATTCATTTATCCGAAATCTTATTCATTTCTCATCACATGTGCTATCTATTTCTTTGTTTTGTGTTGGTCCATTCGAATACATTCAACACACTTTTTTCATTACTTACCTATTAGCAGTAGAATTTACGGTTTGGTAAAAACAAATATGAATTTGTTTGTAATCATAGTCATATCGAACTGATTACATTAAAAGGATTAAGAAATTCACAATAAAAGCAAAGATAAGACAGTTTTTTGCAATTGCTCCAAATTTAGGTGAAACTCAAATAAAGTTACATTCCAAAAATACTCTTCTTCAAAATCGATACCAACGATTTACAAAACAACTCCAAGAGGTAAGAAACGTCTGAAATGGAATATGCAAAATATATCAAGAGACCTGTTCGATGGCCTATCTAAAATCTACCACAAATTTATGGTAATAAGATAAGCAAATGTGGTTTGGGAGGCGAGTCCCCCTCCTCCCTACATACTCGAGGCGGGGCAAAAGGCCCATCAAAGTCACAGTCCTCAGTAAGTCTTGGATTGCGCTGAAAGCTCTCCACAAGTTTGACGCTTCACCTTTTATTCTATTGATTAAGTGGTATAGTGTGCCGTGACCTCTTCTCAACTGAATTGTTTTAGTGATTTTCGGTTTTGACCATCGGTTGTTTCTAGTGATTTTTTTGACAGTTCCAAAACAATTTTGACTGTTGATTTGTGGTTTCTAGGCTGGTTGAAAGGGGGTGAGTTGATACTGAATTATTATTTTGAAAACACTTGACCTAGTAACTTTCAGCCTACATGAAATATAATCCACTGAGAAGTTCCTATTAATTTTTTCCACGTATATTTCTACGAAATTTCAGAAAGGCATTCCAAATCCCAAATTGTCATACACATATGCTGTCGAGTACTAATATTTTTGAAGGCATCAGTTTTGGAGTATTTATTTGTTAGTTTTACGAAATGGTAGGTCACCTTTGAGTTTTCCGTACAGTTTTCATCAATCACTTGTTGTTACTCTTTTTAAAGACCCGAACCCACTGAAAATTGATGACACAAATTGGGTCATAAATTCAAATTCAATCAACTACCAAAAAATAATCAGTTTACGGAAACTGTCATTAGCACTGACAGTAACCGGCATGGAATTGTTTTTGAATAAAAATTATGGTCACACAGTAATTCTCAGACTTCGGGAAGTTTCTGCGATAGTCTCTTCCTGTCTTGATTATTACAAACAGATAAAGCGTTGCCCATTGACCTCGAACAATGACAAAGTAAAGAATGTAAAATTCCGTAGAAAGGGGTTTGTGAAATGAAATTTCCAAATATTCACCTGTCCTAATGTTCCATCACAGTAGGATCTGGTTAATGCCTACCGAAAAACGTACTTCCCCGGCTAATACCATGATGGATATTGAGTTTATTCTGACATACATTAAATGTAAAAAGCAGATATACTTACATACAGCAGCAGAACGACGTTGAAATTAATCAAAAAGTTCTTTATTCAACGAGCTCAGTAAATTCTACAATTTTCGTACTTTCGTTGCAGATTTTGAAAATCATTTTCATGATTCATATGCCTTTTGTAAATGAAAATGTCAATAACGTCAATATTTGTATAACTAACATACATAACCTTACTTTATAGGAGTTTTCAAAATGTATACTCAATTTCCTTTCAATAAACTGATGACTGTATCGAGTAAAAAAAGTATCAAATACAAGGGTATAAGAGTATGTCAAGATAATCGACGTGATTTTCAAATTCGAGAAATATGCGGTATTTTTCTCTTTCTGTCTACAAATAACAGCAAAAAGAAAAAATTGGTATTCTTTTTTCAATGCCGTATTGTGTGAATCTAGCGACGTATCCGATACTCAAAGTGATGTACACATATGAATTCGTGACGTATGTTAGCAATCGACCGGTCATTTGTTTTTTAATGTTTTAATTTTTATTGAAATACTATAAAAAAATGTATGCTTTCTGAATGAAAAATACTCTTCCCCTTTAATAACTCAAAAAGAAAATAACAAATAAGTTGAAAAGCAGTGATAGCTGAACTCCAGTTCATTGAAACATAACATACAAGACAACACGAGAAAATAAACAATTATATCAGTTTATTAGTCATTGACAGGAACAGATTCTGAATAAGTCACTGTCTTAACTTCCAGAATTTTTCTTGGAATGGAATATATTTATTTGGATATATTTGTCACTATAATAAATTGTTGTGAATATCTGAGAAAAAAATGTATCTGAATTGAAGCACCAATAGACTATTTCCGAAGAATAATATTATGCTGAAAAGAACTGAATATTTTTCATTTCACTTTGACGTTTCGGGAATAAAAAATCAATTTCGTCTTCAGAATTTCCAAAAAACGGTTTGATAATGAGAAGCAATTTTGTTACAAAAATTTGCCTTCAACATATGAAAATTCTGATACATGTCATTTTCTGGTATCAGTCTCCTGCGATTCTGCTAGTTGGTATATCTTCATAAGAAAATAAATATTTCGAAATTGAATCTCGAAACATTAATCTCTCCCAGTGTACCTGCACAGTAGGTTCTGGTAAATGCCAACCGAAAAATAATTACTTTCCCGGATAATACCACGTTGGACACTGAATTATATTCGACAAGGTACATCAAGGATACCTCAGCATTGTTTCGTAAATGTTTTCAGTTCTTTCAGCAGCAGGACCATATGCTGAAATCTATCGAGTAAATCACCTACAAACTGATAGGTGATCGACTGCATGTATGAAACCTTCGTCTAAGAAAAAGATTGTTAACTAGTAATAGCTCCATCTCGTGAACAAAGCCCCAAGCGGTGTAGAAACATCCATGTACCAATACTCTGACAGAAATCATGGTACTTCTGAGGAATATATCGAGAAGAGGTCCTACATACATATAAAAAAATAATATTTTGAAATAAAATCTTGAAACATTCAACGTACCTACACACTATGTTCTGGTCTATTTTCAAACGAGTGTCTTATACAGATTTGTCACCAAATACAATGTCAACAATATACATTATCATTTTCACATTTGTTTATCATTAACTTACATGACTCGAAATTTTGTGAGGTGAGTCAAATGAAGTTGAAATACCAAATCAATTTGGAAAAGAAAAGTGATACTTTTAACGTTTTGATGTTTTTATAAGTGCACCAAGCTATATATTACAAATATTCTTTTCTTAATTGAATAGAACCGGCCGATACTTGATGAAAATCCATATTAAAACTAATTAATACAGTTTATTGTATGATTTTCACTATACAGGGTTTTACAACAACCGTGACATGTGTTTCGCTATACAACAGCTTTCTCAAGCATGAACTAACACTGTTTTAGTTTATGCTTAAGAAAGCTTTTGTATAGCGAAACACGTGTCGCGGTTTTTGTAAAATCCTGTATAGTGAAAATCATACTGTATTAATTAGTTTTTTTAGGTAGTAGAACTTGGGATGCAGTGTTTGAAACCTTTCGTGTAGTAATGGATATTACTAGAGTTTTTTCCCAACACCAAACCGTTGTTTTAACACCTCGACACGTGTTACGATCACTAAGTGATCATCTTCAAGAGGAAGATCAAACAAAACAAAACGAGATAGTAGAAGGCAAAAATACTCCTGAAAGGACATAACACTCCAATATTCCGGTTGGTTTTCTGATACCTATTTGAAAATTTTGCATTGCACCGATATTGTTAAATTTTTGCAAACTTGACAATTCGGAATAGATGGTATGTGAGTCAAATAAATGAAACCATATTATTTCAATCCGTTCAAAACAATTTCTCATATTTTCCAAAGTTGTGCTAGAAATGCATTTTAATGATATATTGAAAGTTACTTGTTCCCTGAATGAAAACTTTTAGAAACTATGAGACAATGAGGGCTTGTTCTCCTGCTGCTTTGGTACCATCTAACTGGTCCTTTCATTCCAGTTCTCCAAAAACACCGCAGTCTTAAAATCCCATTATGTTTCTCCTCGCAATTTTTATGATAACAATTCCAACAATTCTGTTGACAATACAAGTTTGTGTAGGTCATTCATTGAATATTTGTCCATATGTAGCATGCTCGTTCATAAATTAATAATAATACTAATATTATTATTCACAACGTATACAGATCAGAGTTCAATTGAAACAGAATATGTGAACAAAGTGGTTTGACCATAAGACCAGAGCGTGTGTACTGTGATCTCGAGTTCCATATTCGTATAAAACACGATCGAGAAAACGTGGATGACATCTCGTCTCACATCTCCCTTTGATATCGATAGAAAACCTATTCCACCAATATATACTATAAGGTTAGGCCTGGCTTCCAAGGCGGGTCGTTTCAAAGCCAAGTGTTGACAACGACCGCTAAACGAGATCTGTTCCCTGTCCTTCTCCGCAGTTTAAACTACATAGCAACAAGTTGAAATCATAGTCCAAACATAAAGCATTCGTTATCAAGCACCAGTTACCCACCATGAGCACAGGTCTCATCAGTACTAATAGGCTGAACCACTAGAGGGAAGATGTCATCACAACACGTGTCGCGGTTTTTGTAAAACCCTGTATAGTGAAAATCATACTGTATTAATTAGTTTTTTTTAGGTAGTAGAACTTGGGATGCACTGTTTGAAACCTTTCGTGTAGTAATGGATAGGTATCACTAGAGTTTTTTCCCAACACCAAACCGTTGTTTTAACACCTCGACACGTGTTACGATCATCAAGTGATCATCTTCAAGAGGAAGGTCAAACAAAACAAAACTAGATAGTAGAAGTCAAAAATACTCCTGAAAGGACATAACACTCCAATATTCCGGTTGGTTTTCTGATACCTATTTGAAAATTTTGCATTGCACCGATATTGTTAAATTTTTGCAAACTTGACAATTCGGAATAGATGGTATGTGAGTCAAATAAATAAAACCATATTATTTCAATCCGTTCAAAACAATTTCTCATATTTTCCAAAGTTGTGCTAGAAATGCATTTTAATGATATATTGAAAGTTACTTGTTCCCTGAATGAAAACTTTTAGAAACTATGAGACAATGAGGGCTTGTTCTCCTGCTGCTTTGGTACCATCTAACTGGTCCTTTCATTCCAGTTCTCCAAAAACACCGCAGTCTTAAAATCCCATTATGTTTCTCCTCGCAATTTTTATGATAACAATTCCAACAATTCTGTTGACAATACAAGTTTGTGTAGGTCATTCATTGAATATTTGTCCATATGTAGCATGCTCGTTCATAAATTAATAATAATACTAATATTATTATTCACAACGTATACAGATCAGAGTTCAATTGAAACAGAATATGTGAACAAAGTGGTTTGACCATAAGACCAGAGCGTGTGTACTGTGATCTCGAGTTCCATATTCGTATAAAACACGATCGAGGAAACGTGGATGACATCTCGTCTCACATCTCCCTTTGATATCGATAGAAAACCTATTCCACCAATATATACTATAAGGTTAGGCCTGGCTTCCAAGGCGGGTCGTTTCAAAGCCAAGTGTTGACAACGACCGCTAAACGAGATCTGTTCCCTGTCCTTCTCCGCAGTTTAAACTACATAGCAACAAGTTGAAATCATAGTCCAAACATAAAGCATTCGTTATCAAGCACCAGTTACCCACCATGAGCACAGGTCTCATCAGTACTAATAGGCTGAACCACTAGAGGGAAGATGTCATCACGGTTTCCTATTCAGGCTTGTCCTTCAAGATGAGCCGAGTCCTGCAATGGTATCCATGGTATAGCCTAGCATCACTGATGAGGACTATGGTGGGTCGAAACAGTGATATCTGCTATTGAATCATGAATGCTTAAGTTTTGGGGTCTGCTTTCGAAATATCAAGCATTCTCTGTTTTTTGCAATGCCTGCAGCTGAAGTCTACGTTACACAACCCTTTTTGTTTAATGAGTAGCTTTGTAAATATTCTCAACATTGAGATGGAATTGATGATCCACATCTGACACATCCATCAGTTTTTTGTTGCATGTGATTCCCATGAACCTATTCTAGTCCGCCAGCTTGTTCGTTTTTTACAGCCATCTCAGAACAGCCTTGATGTAACTTTTGGGTTCATCAGTACCCCAAGTGTAGCCTGGCTTCCTGTAATTCATACAGGGTGGGATACCGAAAACGAAACAGATCGAATATCTTCGAAACACATGTGTTCTGAAAAAAATGCAAAAACACGTCAATTTGTAATCCAAGGAGACATCTTCCTATCATAACCTCAACTGTCAAACCTCTTTCCTCACCCCTCGGTGACTATCACCCAAACAATTTGAATAGGGAAAGTAGTATTGTAACAATTAAATTTCTAATCACAAAAACAACTACTAGACCAAATTTCATGGTTATAGAAATAGTTTTTCGAATGTCTAAAAACGACATGGCGGTAATTTTGGTGATTTTTGTACACAATTAAAAAAACAATTGTTTAATAAAATCAGCCTGTAAGGAATACATTTTCAAAAAAGTATGGCAGGCCTATACTCCCACCGGAGAAGTATGGCATATAGCGAGCGACGGATTTCTTTTATTAAGATACCGAT